ACCCGTCTGCCTCCCTCCTGACCCCCTGACGTTGCCCCCCACCCACCCAGGCCGGCTGCTCTGGTGGGGGTGGGAGAAAGGGGGGGCCGTAAAGCCCTCATCTTTGTGGAGGGCGGCCCAGTGGGCAGCCCCCTGCCTCCCTCCGCCTCCGCCCCCACCCGGGTCTTTGCATCCTTCCCGGCAAACACAACAAAGCCACAGAGGCCCTTTCTTCAGCCCCACTGAGCTGGCTTCTCTGTCTCCCTGCTGAAGGCAGAGCCCGGCCCCTGCCCAGCAGGCGGCCCGGCCAGGTGTCTGAAAGGGCCAGCTTCTCCTCAACAGCGCAGGGCGGGGGCGGCGGGCAGACAGGTGGCTGAGACTCGAAGCTTTGAGAGAATCTGTGGTCACCGAGAGCAGGGCAGCTCCGCTGGAGGCAGGGTCATGCCCTGGGACAGCTAGGTGCCTGCCGGGCGCTGGATGCCCGTGTCCTTGCTGCCAAGACGTTTCCGAGGCTGCTTCTGTCCACAGGCCTGTTGGTCCCGTCCACACGCCCGTTGGTCCCGTCACTTGCTCATTCACCATTTTCCTTGGGGCCCTGGGCTGGGTGCTGGGCCTAAGAACCGCAAGCTGTCCTGCTTCCTTGCAGGGTTCACAGGCTGGGCCTGGAGACCGGTAAGAAGCCCATCCTTATTGGGCTGATTGGCTCACCCTCCCTGCAACTTCTGAGGCACAGGACAGGCAGGTTGGTGAGGGTGCAGACGGCCCCCAAACACCACGAAGTGTTCGGCGGCCTGGGAGAGCTGACTTAGGGGTGTGTATTGTTAAGCATTTCTGGGACATGCACTTCTGTGATTCTCCTGGGAGGGGCTCAGACCAAGTTCCACGGGGTTCACTGTGGGTATGTGCATGTTCGGAGGGTCAGTCACTAACGTTTGGCCAGTCAGAGCATCACGTGATCCTGACTCCTGGTGGGTTCAGGGATGAATGTGCTTCCAAGTTGGTCCACCGAGGCCGAGCCTGGCACTCCAGCAGGCTAGCTCAGACAGGAGATGATCTTTGTACTGGACTTGGGGTTTTGTAGATGTCAGTGCCCCAGAGGCTGCCAGGGGAGAGACCTAGCCTGGGAGTGAAGCCCAGAGCTTCTGTGTGCTGGTGACATTGTTTGAGTACCCGGATCCAGCCATGCCTGAAGCTGGCCTCGCCTAAACTTTAGTAAAAGCCAGCTTCTTTTTTAAGCGAGTCAGAGTTTCTGGCACTCAGTTAGAGACCTGGCTGATGGAAAGAGGCAACAGAGGAGGGAAAGCTGGAGTGTTTGGGTGTAGCCTGGAAGAAGCGTTTGGACGGCTAGACGACATAGTGTAAATCGTGGTGTTAAATATTCCGTGTGAAACTGCATCAGTGTATCGTAATCCGTAATCCGCGTCTTCCCCTCGGGATCCTCAGTCGTGCTTGCTCTGATCACACGCGTGCCGGGAGGAGGAACTGTCTTGTGGGATTCGGAGGAGCCGAGTCTGCTGTCTGGGACGAGGCGGTGTGAGGCCGAGGAGGCCAGCTGTGTGCGGCTGGAGCCCGGAGGTGGATGGGGCCGTGTTGGGCCCAGCAGTCCGCTGCAGGCCGGCTGGTGGGGGAGCTCCAGGAGGACTGCGTTGACGTGCAGAATACTCGTATGAGATCCAGGAGCCTCACGGCTCTGCAAGCAGCGGTCGCTCCCTTGGGCCCCTCTGCACAAAGCGCGTGTCTGTCCCTGCAGGCAAGTTCATGGCCTGCTCTGCTCAGGCCCAGGGTCCCTCAGAGCGCAGTGGGCATGCCTGTGTCTGTTCTGTGTGCCTGAGGTGTCTGCACCGGGCTCTGACCATGGAAGGTGGTTAGGAAATGTGGGGCACACACGTGAGTGTCTCCAATGACTTAAATGTCTCCCGTCTGTTCTCCTAGGCTCCCAATCAAGACGGTGGATGGAGGTGCTGTGGGAAGCGCCCTTTCTATCTTCAAACACACAAAAGTGCTGGAGAAAACCTTACCATTTAGGAGACTGCAGAGCCAAGGTCACAGATTAGAAGGGAAGATGCCGGCTTGTGTGGGGAGCGGGAGGTGGAGCAAAAACGCCCCAAGGGGTCAGGACTGGGGTCTGAGGCCCAGGTGGCTCAGGGACAGGGGACCTGGCTGCTGTGTGAGGACAAGGAGGCCCCTGCAGGAGGGGGCGTCCAGGGGCCGCCTCATGCACGGGCGGGGGCGAGAAAACCCCACCAGCTGCTTCGGGATGCTGCCTAAGGTGTGGGGCCGCTTCTCACCAGCTGTGTAGTCAGAAACCTGGAGCTAAGAAACGCATCTAGAAAGCAGCCCAGATTCAGGCCCTGGTGGGGGCAGAGAGGGAACACCCCCCATAATTCGGGGGCCCTCCAGGGTCCTGACTTCTGTCAAAGCTGGGCTCAGGGTGGCCATCCCCGTCATGACGGAAGAACTGGACGGGCTGGGGTTACAGCAACGCCAGAGAGATGAGAGGAAGCAGCTTCCCCGAGAGACGAGAGACGAGAGACGGGGCGAGGCCTGGGGAGGGAGGAGAAGGCCAGCTTTGAGAAAGAACTCACAGCAGTTCCTCCTGAGCAGCAAGCGGCTGAGAGGGCACCTGAGGAGGGGCTCCGCCGGGGAAGGGGTCTGGTCTGGAGCCGGGAAGCTCAGCTGCGTCCCGGGCCCCTCGAGCTTGGTTTTGTGACCAGCGTTCTTGGCTGTTCCGTCCCCTTCCCCTTCCTTGCTTCAAGGATAGAGAGTGTCGGGGGCAAGTCAGCCTGCAAACCTGCAAGCTCTGACTACAGAAAACAGACAGAGGAGGTCTGCTCCCGGGGCTGGGCCGGGAAATAAGTGACAGGCATCACCGAAGCACCGTAGGAAGGCCACTGTCTAGCCCCTGGTTTCCTCATCCCCTGGGCACGGCCTTTGGAGTCTCTGCAGCATCTGGACCCTTTTCCCTCCTAAGGTGGTGGTTTCGTTGCTCAGTCGTGTCCAACTCTAGTGATCCCACAGACTGTAGCCCACCAGGCTCCTCTGTCCATGGGTTTCTCCAGGCAAGAATACTGGAGTGGGTTGCCATTTCCTTCTCCAGACGATCTTCCCGATCCAGGGATCGAACCAGGAGCCCCAGTTTTGTTTGGGATATCAGCATCACCTGACTCTCTTGCAGGTAGAGGCAGCCACATGATGCAGTCCTGGCCAAGGTGAAGGAGGTGCAAGTTCAGGAGGGAGAAGCCGGGGTGGGGGGGCCTCTCCCTGAATATCAAGGCAAAGCCAACTACCAGAAAATCCTTTTTGCTCTGAATGTCCCTGGTCCGTCTTATGCCTGGATAGCAGACATGAGGTCTGGAGCTGCAGCAGCCATCTTGTAACCATGAGCCAACAACAGAGGAGGTGAAGTGGAAAGAAAGAAACAACCCAGGCTGTGGGGCCAGACAGACCTTCCTTTTCCACTTTCTGGCTATACGGCCCTGGTATGTCACTTAACTTCTCAGAGCCTCACTTCCCACAGTCTGTAAGATGGGGCAGAACCTCTCCCTTGCAGTCTTGAGATGATTAAATTATGCATTGGCTGTGGATCCAAGTTTTGTCCTGTAAAGAGCTACATGAATGTTTGGAGTTACTTTCACAATCATGCTGTAAAGGACAGTTACTTTGGGGCAAAAGGAAGAAGAGACCCTTTATTTCTCTTCTTGGAGAAAGATCCAAGGCTGGACACGGGCCTTAAGCCCTGCTCCCCAGCCGATCAGCTCTGAGAACAGGAAGTGACTGTCCAAACATTTGGAGCTGCAGGAGGCTAGCTCAGAGCGGGCCTCTTGCCTCCAGCATTGTGCTTTCTCGTGTCCCCACGGAGGGCACCTCGGAACTCAAGGACAGATTTTGCCCGGTGAGAAACTAGGTTCAAAGCCACCCCTTCTGGCTGCCCCGCCTGCCAGTCTGGGCCAGACCAGCTTCCTTTCTGGCTGGAGGCGGACAGCAGCCCCTCCCTCCTGCCTTCCCCCCGCTGTCACAGCTGTATCACAACAGAGTGACTTTTTTTGCAGTCTGTTCCTGTGACCCCCCCCCCCCCCCCCCCCCCNNNCCCCCCCCGAACCTTTCCGTGGCTTCATGCTCTCCCGACGGAAGGCTGGCGTCCTCACCGTGACCTTGGTTGGCCCGGTCCCTGCCTGCCTCACCCACCCTCTGCCTCCAGCCACTCTTAGTTTCTGGCCGGAGCCCAGGTCCCTCCTGCCCCGGCGCTCTGCCTACACTGTTTCTGTTTTCTGGAGCACCCTCCCCTCCTCCCCTCCCTGGCCCATCTCGCCAGGTAACACCCACCCCCCCAGCACCCTCCTCCTGTGGCAGGTCACGGCGCAGGGCGAGGATCTCAGAATGTCGCCTTCACAGTGATCCCCCTGCAGCCTCCCACAGCTGCTGCAGAGAGCCGGCGCTCAGCACATGTGGAAGGCACGCCCAGCGCCTTGGGATTTGAAACGGTGGGAGCTCTGTTCTCTGAGCACCTAAGTGATCCAGGCAGGCCTCACGGCATCTTCACAGCCACTCGGGTAGGAGGAACCGCAGTCTCCATTCCACCCAAGAGGAAACAGGGACTCAGAAGGGGCCAGTGACTTTCCCAGGGTGTCACATCAGAGGTCCTGCCGGGATTTGAACCTTGGTCCCAAGCCCAGCGTCCTGCCCTGGTGGAGCGAGCACAAGGGGTCCGTGCCTGTCTCTTTCGTCACCTGGAGAAGGGGGACATCGTGGTACCTGCCTCCCAGGTCTGGTGGCTGGGAGGACTCTGAGTTAAGTCAGCTGAGTGCTCAGAGGCTGGTCCATTTTAGGTGCTCGGGAACTCTTAGCTGTTATCATCATTAGTATTGCACTGATCAGTGCAAAAACAGGCCCATGGGTGGATGGATGGATGGATGAGTGGATCCATAACACGTGAACAACAGGGAAGCATGAGAACGAGTGGGAAGGAGGAAAGCGCCGGAGAAGGGGAGGGGGTCCCCGACCCCAGTACCCGCCCTGCTTACCTGTAGCGCCTCAGCTCGCCCTCCAGCCGCCGCAGCCCGCGCTGCAGGCCGGGCATCGCCTGGCTCTTCCAGAGGCCGACCTGCCGGGACAGGGCGGCAGGGCGGGCGGTGAGCTCCTCGCGCGGGACCCAGACCCGGCCCAGAGCGCGAGAGCAAACCCTCCGTGTGAGCTCGGTTAGCCCACACCCTAACTCTGCTACGATGGGAGCTCGCATCGTCCGGTGGTAATGGGTGCCCCCGGGTAATCGATGCGGGCCACCGAGGCCCAAAGCTCGGGCTCTGTTCTTTGCGCGGTTCCAGTGAGTCCCCAGACTCTTCTCCACCCACCTCCCGCTCTTGGGGCGCCCCGCCTCCATCCCACAGAGGTGGTCCTCTCTGCGCGGTCTCAGGTGCATCTTCCGGGCCCTCCCCACCCCTAGCTGCCAGGCAGTGGCTCCTTAAGGGTGGGGTTTTCTTCTGCAGTGTCTATTGCTGTGCCTTCAGGAGACTAAAATAGGCCCGGCACACAGTAGGTGTTCAGTAGAGACTTAAAGAACAAATGATCCTGGACGAACTTACTCCACTTAAAAAGAGTACCTCCCCGCCCCACGCGTTGCTTCTGGGATGCCCATCGGCGCGCCCTTGCCTTGGCCACTAAAATCTGCGCCTCGACCCCTGTGCGCTTCGGGCCTCTCCCTACCCTTCGGGGCTGTGCCCGGGCCGCGTGGGGAGCAGGCAGCTCCCTCAGAGGCTGTTCTGGGCCTCGTCTGATCCCGCACCTCTTGTCGTCCCCTTTGGCACAAGGCTGGTGCTCACAAGGCTGACTGAATTGCAGATGCCTGCCCTGGGTCCGTGCCTCTGTCGGCGCCTGGCCCCCGCAGCGCTGGGTGGCCTGTGCCTGCCCGATTGACAGTGTGACGCTATTGAGCACCGGGGTCGCGAGGCCTGGCCCCGAGGCAGGCCCTGCAATGTCTGTTGAGTTGCCCGTAGACCCGGTTAGGCAGGGAGCTCCTTAAGGGCGGGACAGAGTCTTCCTCACACCTTATCTCCTAGGCCTGCCGGAAGCCTCTAGAGCCTCTGAGACCGTCCGGGTTTCCTGGAAGGGTCCGGGTGTGGATCAGAGGGCAAGAGGAGATGCGGTGCGGCTGAGGATGGTTTCCTCAGTGGGACTGGGGTTTGGGGGCGGGATGGGGTTGGAGCGGCTGGGAGGCAAGTAGGCTCAAGCCAGGAGGACTGCCCCCTGCTCGTCCCCTCCTGCCCAGGAGGGGCTCTCGGCCCGCCGCGGTCGCCGGCCCTCCAGCCCGGTCCTTACCCGCCACCCCCTTCCGCCCCGGCCGCGGGCGCACCTGCAGCGCCAGGCAGCGCGCGTCACTGCTCTGCAGCGCGGCCCGCAGGTCCTCCACCAGCTCGCGCAGGTTGCTGTTTTCCTCCTCCAGCCGCGCCAGGCGCTCGCCGGCCGGGCCGCCGTCGGGGCCGGCCGGGCAGGCAGCTCGGCGGCGGCGGCGGCGCGGCCGGCGCAGGCGGATCTGCGTCTCGATGTGCTCGCTCAGAGCGCCGCGGGGCAGACGGGGCCCGGCGCGCGTGCCGAAGTAGCCGCAGAGGCGCGCGTGGAACTGGCGGAAGGTGAGCTCGGGCGGCTCCGCGCGCAGCGCCAGGCGCGCCTCCTCCTCGGCATCCTCGTCCCCGTCGGCGGCCTCCTCAGCGGCCGCGTCCCCGGCGATCACGTCCCCAGAGTTCGTGTCTCCGGCGGCCGTATCCCCGGAGGCCTCCCCGGGGGCGGAAGCCCCCTCGACGCTCAGCCCCAGCACCGCGCAGAGCGCGCGGAAGTCGGCGCGGGGCAAGCGGCCGGCCCCTCGGCAGTCCAGGTGGTGGAAGACCTCCTGCAGATACTGGTCCAGGCCGGTGGCCAGCACCACGATCTCGTTCTCCACGCCGCGGTCCAGCCCGTAGTGGTGCGCCAGGGCGCTCAGGAGCCACTGCGTGCGCCGCGCGGGCCGCCGGTACGGGTCACTCGCCGCGCCTTCCATGCCGGCTTCCGCGCCCGGGCCGCTGGCTCCAGCGCGGCGGAGCGCCCCTCCTCCGGTCCCTCCGCCCACCACTTCCAGGGGCGGCCTCCGGCTTTCCCGAAAGGAGGGGCTTAGCGGAGCCGGCGGCGTCTAGTGGCGGCGCTGTGTTTACTCGGGTGGGCTTGGCGGGGGCTGGGGAAGGGGACCCGGCGGCCCCGAGGTCCCCGTGGGGCTGCCACGGCCTGGCCTCTCTCCGGATCTCGGGGCGTTCCTGGCGCCTCCTCTTTTCTTCCCACTCCGGGGTCTGTCCTCTTTCAACTCCCTCCTTGTGCAGAGTGTGCCCCAGGTGGGGGTGGGCGTGGGTGCAGGATGGAAGCTGGGGGGGCACTGGAGGGTGGCAGCCGGGTTCTCTTGCTGGGGGCGTGTCCCCACGCCCACGCGCCCCTCCACCCTTCTAGCTGGAAATCCAGGGGAGCCCGGCTAGCTCGCCTGGACCAGCATACCCCCGTAGGTGCGGGGAGGCCCCTCTTCTTCAAGACAGCTGCTGGGTCCCCAAACCGACTTCTAGCTCCACCAGGGCGGGGGCACGGCCCTCGCGTGGTAATGAGCCGGGAAAACCAACCTGGAGAATGAGGGGATGCCTTAGGGTGGTCCCGGTGGATAGAAACCCATCTGAACCAGAGCCTTGCTCTCTAAGCTCTGGGTGTGTTGGGGCCGGGACGGGGTAGGAAAGCTGAGGTCTTCTTTCTTCCCAGCCCTTTGTGCCCAAGAATGGTGAGTTGGTCCTGTAACCAGAACCGTTGACCAATGAGCTGGGGGGTTAGCCAATCAGGTAGCTGTCTGGCCAGACATTTTCTCTGATGCATTAGAACACCTTTCTGGAAGATAAAAACAGCCTCCCAGGTAAAATAAGGCTGCTTTTCCTTTTTTCTTTTCTTTTTTTGCGTAGGCGAGGTGTAGACATGTCCTAGTCTGATAGCGGGACCTGTCTTCCAGCCTAAAGGGAGCAAGAAGCAGATTTCTTCAGCTGTCCGTGGCTAAGATGGGCAGCATCTGGCCTCATGTACAGCTCTAGCAATTCAGACGTCAAACCCTGGAGTTTGAAAAAGCACCGGCATTCTGTCTCCTCTGGTGCGGTACCCCAGAGTGAGCGCTATGTCAGTTTGGCAAATTTCTACTCATCCTTGGAGACTTTGCCCACTGCGTGTCTCTGCCAGGAAGAGGTGCTCCTTCTCAACTGTTTTGTATGTGCATTAAAAAAAATTATTAAAGTTCCCTGGTGGCTTAGTGGTAAGCAATCCACCTGCCAATGCAAGCAGTGTGGGTTTGATCCCTGGGTCAGGAATATCCTCTGGAGGAGGAAATGGCAACCCACTCCAGTATTCTTGCCTGGAGAATCCCACGGACAGAGGAGCCTGGTGGGTTACAGTCCACGGGGTCGCAAAGAGTTTGACATGACTGAGCGACTAAATAACGACAGTTTGACACAACGTTTTACCTCAACTCCACATCTCGGTTTCTACCTTAGAAAAACATGCGCAGGGTGTTCATCGTACTGTCGTTTGTAACAGTGAGAAACTGGAGACACCGCCCTCCCCAGGATGAACGCCCAGACAAGGATGCATGAGAAAGTGAGTGGTCGCACGCTGTGTACAGTGTAACCGTGACGTCACGGCGAACCTGCCCAAAGCGGTGCTAAGTATTTTCTCTGCGGTCATGTGTGTGTAAGTACATAGAAAAATACAGAGGAGTCCGCAGACAGATTCAGTGGTTATTTCCAGGGGTTGGAGGCATTTGGCTTTCACTGTAACATCTTCCTTTTTCACAGGGCAGTGTATTTGCTTTGCTTTGCTTTTTTTTTAAGGGGGAAAGACTTTCTTTACCATTTACAGCCCACAGAGTGCACCCATTTAAGGTATATAAATAAATGGCTTCTGGCATGTTTGTAGAGCGCAGAACCATCATCGCAGTTTCGCTTTATCTTCGTATTTGGCTGCACCTCCGCGTCCCCTGCACCCTCCCACGCTGCCTCCCTCCCCGACCTCCTTGCAGTTTCTCTGACTCACCTCAGGGCCTTTGCATCTGCCTCCCCAGGTGCTTACAGCCTCCCCCTCACCTCCAAGTTCCTTGCGGCAAAGTCACCTCCTCTGCCAGGCCTTCGGTGACGTTGCAAGCCCTCTGCACCCCTAACAGACTCTCTCGCCTGCTGTGTCGGTCTGTCTGCCTGTTTGACAGACGCTGGCGGCTACGAGGGTAGGGACGTGTGCCTGTCTGTCCACCCATCTCAGCTGCCTCCCCACGGCTGTCTCTGGGCATGGTGTGGTGCTTTCTTTGCCTATAGAGGATTTAAAACTTTTAATTTTGATTTTTTTTCTATTTTTTTGGCCACACCGAGAAGTATTCAGGATCTTAGTTTCCCAAACAGGGATCAAACCTATGCTTCCTGCCGTGGAAGTGCAGTGTCTTAACCAGGGGACCACCAAGGAAGACCCTTTAATTTGTACTTTTAAAAGCAACCATCGCCATTTATTTGCAGGCCTGCCTCAAGGGCTGAGGTTCACAGGGCCAGAGATCCCATATGGCCCCCGTGCCCAACACATGGCCTGGCATTAAGTAGGCATTAGTTACATTGTTTTGTTTGAACACATTTTTGTAGACGTGAACACACTGCTTCAGAAGGAAATCACAGGCATGCCTCGGATTCGAGCACCCTTTCACCCAGGGATGATGGAGTCCGCGAGATTCCAAATGTTGGTTGTTGGTTGGGTCCCCTAACTGGACTGTAGAAACTTCTAGGCTGGGAGTCCCACCGCCGGAGGGGTTGCTGTGCGCCTTTAGAACACTGAGTCTGGAACCTGGCTCTGAACTTCTGAGCCGTGTCTTGCAGACGAATCTGATTCAGTCTCATGTTAGTGCTGAGAGCTGATGACCCCGATGAGACTAACCCTGTTGCTGCAGCTGGCGACTGCTTTTGGGGAGGGAATCCTTTCAACAGTCAGTATTGAAAGCCTTTAAATATCTTGCCGGAGCCTGGCCTCTGCCCCCCGCAGCTCCGCGGGGGCAGGGGAGTATGGGGTGATAATGGGGGGCTGTCAGGCCTGTCTGTCTGTGGGGCTGTGTTACCAGGCGCCTCTGAAATCATTCCGATTGGACCCACCAGGCTTTTGTTTCAGATTCCAAGTGAGCAAACTCGGAAGTCTCCTGGGCTTTTGTCTGGGCTGGGGGATGGGCGTGTGTCTGTGTGCGGGAGAGGCCCTCGGAGAGAAGCGAGGTTTCTGAAGTCAGCTCGGTATTGTTTGAGCATGTCATTCACAGGCTCTTCAAACAGCCCAGAAAAATGCTAAAAAGCAAAAACATCCCCCATCGTGCCAACAAGAGAACAGAGATCTTCTGATGTGTTCTTTTCAGACATTTTCCATGCATTTGGGCATGAAAGAACTTCAGGAGTGATGGGATATTCTCTGTCTTCACTGGCATGGAAGTTATTAATACGTGACTGTTACACGTCAATGAAAGCGCTTACAGGACGTTTCAGTTGTACCTCCTTAAACTTGACTTAAAGAAATGAGCTGGGATGCTGCTGTCGGGATCTTTCTCTGCACATCAGCCATCTTCCCAAGCGACTCTGCCATCATTACCATTCCTGGGCAGCATTCTTCTCGAAGGCTGGTCCACGCGCCCACTTAGGACTGACCCAGGAGGTAGACATCGTGGTGTTTTCTCTCCATTCCAGTAACACTGTCGATGGTTGACTCTGTCTCCGGGTGACTTATTGGCCAGCTGAGGGGCATGGATACTTTACAAGCCCTTGACGTCCTCAACCTGTTTATCCGAAAGTGTGTGTTATCCTGCCCAGTCCCCTGGAGCATCTGGGATTGTCTGAGAGCTGTTGTTTTTGGTGTCGAAGCTTTTACATTTTTAAGAGTCTTGGTTGGGGAGTTTAGCTGAATGTTTAGAGATCGTTTTACTTCTATTAAAAATGGGCCCTGGATTTTCCTGGTGGTCCAGTGGTTAAGTTTCTGCCTGCCAATGCAGGAGACACAGGTTGCAACCCTGATCTGGGAGGATCCCACATGTCTCAGAACAACTAAGCTTGCGTGCCACAGCTCCTGAGCGCCGCGACCACTGAAGTCTGCGCTCTGAAGCCTGTGCTCACGACAGAAGCCGCCGCAGTGAGGAGCCGGTGCACTACAGCCAGAGGGGAGCCCCCACTCGCCACAACTACAGAAAGCTCACATGGCAACAAAGAAAAAGCACAGCCACAAATAAATAAATAAAAAAATGGGCCCGAGGGAATTCCCCAGTGGTCCAGTGGCTAAGACTGGTGCTTCCACTGCCACGGGCCCGGGTTCAATCCGTGGTCAGGGAAATAAGGTCCCACAAACCGTGAAAACAACCTAGACAGCATATTAAAAAGCAGAGACGTTACTTTGCCTACAAAGCCACGGTTTTTCCAGTAGTCATGTATGGATGTGAGAGTTGGATCATAAAGAAAGCTAAGCACCAAAGAATTGATGCTTTTGAACTGTGGTGTTGGAGAAGACTCTTGGGGGGGTCCCGTGGACTGCAAGGAGATGGAGCCAGTTCATCCTAAAGGAAATCAGTCCTGAATATTCATTGGAAAGACTGACGCTGAAGCTGAAACTCCAATACTTTTGGCCACCTGATGCGAAGAGCTGACTCATTTGAAAAGACCCGGATGCTGGGAAAGATTGAAGGTGGGAGGAGAAGGGGACGACAGAGGATGAGATGGCTGGATGGCATCACCGACTTGATGGACACGAGTTTGAGTAAGCTCCGGGAGTTGGTGATGGACAGGGAGGGCTGGCGCGCTGCAGTCGACGGGGTCGCGAAGAGTCAGACACGACTGAGCGACTGAACTGAACTGAACTGAACTGAAGGATCTTCTCGCCCAGCAGCGGCTGAGGCCGGGAGCCCCGCCCCTAGGAGAGCCCCGCCCCGGGGCCACGTGCGTCTCCTAGCAACCGTCAGTTAGTGAGGAGGCGGGTCCTGGGGCCTCC